GGACTGGGATGGGTTTGGTCTTGAAGGAGGCGGCTGAAGGTATCGAGTATTGAGTGATGATGGCAAGGAGGATGTGAGACTACTAGTAGGTGAAGCAGCTATTGATAGAGCATCAGCTAACATGTTCTGTGTAATACCGGGACTACTGGCTACTGGTGCTGTCTGACCAGCAGGAGTAGTACCTGTAGGAGAAATAAAGAGAGAGAGGAGGGGGAGAGGGAGGAAGGGGGCAGAAGACAAAAACGATGAGCAAGATAAAAGGATACATGTATTATGTATAATTATACATATGATCAGGATTTCCCACAGGCACAATGCTCATACAACTTCTTCTTGGTGGTGGATTGTCAAGTTGTTGGGCCAAAGACAGTGTACTATAAAGTACAGGGTATTTAGATAAAAATTACAAGAAGAGAATTCTCCATTTAAAAATTTTTTTCTGATAAATATACATGTTCTTATGCTGTGTATCAACTTTGAGCTGATTCCAATCAAATTTGGATTTTTTATGAATTTTTAAAGTTACTCAAAAATTGGGCCAACGACCAAAGGCTATAGCCTTTGGTCATAGGCCAAATTTCGTCAAAAATGGCTAGTAGAGAATTCTCCATTTTTATAATTTTTTCTGATACACATACATGTTCTTATACTGTGTATCAACTTTGAGGTGATTCCGATCAAATTTGGATTTTTTATGAATTTTTAAAGTTGCTCCAAATACCATGCACTATAGTGCTTGTCAGCTCATGAAGCTCATGCTTTGTGGGAAACCCCCTACAGTAAACATAATGAAACTATTAATGTACTTGGTCCAGGATAAGGAGGTGGAGGAGGATTGGGTGTAGCCTCTGGATTTGTCTCCATACTCTGACCTTGTGGTTGGTTGCTGTTCTGATGAGCTAAAATAGCTTGAGAATAATGATACATCTGAAAAGAGAAGAAAGGAAGAGAGAGAGAGAGAAAAATAGTAATCAGAGTATACATGTACAGACATGCATGCTCACTAGATTTACACGTACATGTATCATGCTAAGCTCACTTGCTCTTGTGCGTCGGCCAGTTCTTCTTCTTCTCCTCCCATGTCCATGAAATCCATTTCGTTATCATCAACTGCTTGTTCCAACATGTCCACAATTTGATCGTCTTCAACGTCGTCGCGGTTACACCCTCTCTCCACGGCAACGAGTGCACCGATTTGCTCCAATAGTTGACGAGCACCTTCAGCTTGGGATTCATCGCTTTCCAATATCCTGAAGTAATAATAATAATAATAATAATGATGATAATAAGAGGATAATATTTACCTTGTTAATTCTTGTGGATCAGAAGCAGCTGCTTGTATCATAGGATTACTGGCAAAGTCTAATAAAAATTTTTTAAAAATAGAATTTAATATAGTGTTTGTATTATGTATATCTAATGAAAGATTTATTAAGAACATTCACTTACTTTGTACAACTGGATTATTCTCCAATTCTGTTCCTTGAACAATCGAAGAGAGCAAAAGTGGGTTTGCCAATATACGCTGAAACTAATAATAGGGATAATAAAATAGTAACAACATAGAAGAGAAAAAGAGAGGACAAGTAACTTGAATTAAGGATAAAGTTAAATTTTATGTGCCAAAGATAGTCAACTTAAAAGAAGTTGCATCAAAAAGACTGATATGTGTATTAATTTTTAAAAACCACACTCACTATTTGATGTACTCGTGGGTTCTGTGCTAATCTCTTTAGCTGAGACTCCTCCCTTTTCACGCCATACTCTCCAGAATTCACAGACTCTAAAACAATAAAAATGTACATGTACGTGGACATGCAGCATTTTCTCTCTCACTTGGTTTCTTTATCATATAAAATATCGTCATTCCTTCTTCAATTTTATACTGGCCCAACGTCTTTCCAGATTTTAAAACACGACCACCATACATTAAAGCTGAGAGAAAATATTTTTTAAATAACATAATTATTTTTTAAATTACTCAGTTGTTCTTCTGGTAGGTTCAGTTCATCAGAAACTCTACTCATGAAGGACTGGACTTGCAGGTTTCCAACTGTGTCTGTTTCTAACTTCTTCCTTTCTTTAGAATGAGGATCCTTCAGATAAATAAATGAAGAAGTGGACGCCATTTTTGAGGCTATTTAAAATTTTAGTTTTTCTAATTTAGAGCTAATAAAAAGAGTTATTTACGGTTGCATTTTTATTAACTAGAACTAGAAGATCTGTAGCTGCACTTTTAGTTTCACTGTGTTGCTCTGCTCTAGACTGCTATCATCTCTTTTTATAAGGTACTACCAAGTATCATAGATATTGTGTGCTATCAGTTTTTAATAAAATAAAGGAGCAGCATTCAATGGTCAGAAGCACGAGGAAGAAAAGAATGAAGCTATTCTTATCTGCCATCTTGTCGTTTATCGTCCACATTTTTGTGGTTTCAGCCATGGACGAATTTACTCCTGATGAGAACCACTGCCTGATGAACGATGATAAAATGACAGCTATCATTTGTGTCAGTAGCTCTGGTGACATGGTACAGGAAAGCAGCAATCATTGTCTGCAAGATACAAACTCCTGCTATTCATCACTGGATTGTGCTATGGAGGAAGCACAGCAAGAGCCAAAGAATACTACCATCATATGTCTCAACCCTGGTAATTACATGCTGAATGTAAATGTTACATTTGAGAATTTCAATAGTGGAATTTCTATTATTGGTAACAGTACTCGTAGACCTGTTATACACTGTAGCCCTGGCATTGGTCTTACCTTCTTTAACTCGAGTAACATTCTGCTCAGTAATCTCTATTTTTCT